AAACGTATTAAAAAATGTCATCATTAGGTTTATTACCACTGTGGATTTATATTTTAAGGCAGTTTGATGACATTTCTCACACAATCTTAACAAATTATGAGCAAGACAGAGGAAAATCTGGATATCATAATTAGTGCTACTGTCTATTAAGTGGATTCATTGGGGAAGGGGAAACCTGTTATAAAGCCAGTTGAAATTTAAAGTACCTACTCCAACATTTTTCTGATTTTCAAAACACATCCCAACACCTGCATTCTCCCAAATCAGTATGTTTGATAATTATATATTACTGTATGTCATTATATATTGACAAAAGCATACATTTTCCAGCATCCACAACAACAGACAAAACAGATAAAAGCTTTACACCCTATTTGAGGTTAATCCAAAGCGAAGTTTACTCTAAGATGATAACTATAGATACCTTTTTCTTTTCCATATTGCGGACCTTCTTGTCAATCACACCAATAATCTGCTTCATGGCCTCAGAATGACTTCCATTTCCCAGGTCTGGAATGGCAGACTGGACAGCACTGTTGCCAGCTGTTGCTGAAGGCATCTTTGGGAGGGAAACATGTAAATATTACAATTAAAATTTGGACCTGAATAAAACAAACAAGTAATCCTAACTTAAGATGTTAGCAGAAGAAGACAAACTATTTCAAAGCCTAAGAACTAGATCGTTCACTTATGTCTTCAACCAGGTTACAAAATGCTGTTAAGGTCATGCTCTGCAGTCTCAGACTTTCAACCTGCAGTTACTGTATCTGACACCCATCAGAAACAAGGTTTCCTAGAACAGAGCTCACAACTGGATATTTACTATGCATGCACATACAGACTTGTATAAACAACTTATATTATACTTTGATTATAAATTTTTGTTTTATGATATTTGTTGCATCGATCCACGGCAATTCTAAAAGATTTTTAAAGGGTTATGTATCTTGAGATGCTTGTGCACATTTCAACATAACTGTCTGCACTGTGATACTGTAGGGATGTTCTGTATTTTGAGGATTACACAAATGATTACAGACACATTGCCCTTTTCCATTTTTGTCCAAGTCTAGCAATAAACAGTAATTAAGCTGAGCACCACCCGATTCAACTGATACCTGTGGACGAAATGGACCCACAGTTGTTGCTTAAATGTACCTTTCATTGTCAACTGTGTATTAAATAAAAGCCTAAAAACGATCTCTCTCTCTAGATAGAGAGATAGAAGTGGTACCGTATGAACTGTTATTTGTACTGTATTGCCCGGTAATCTCTAATATAAACTGAGCTCATGC